TTGATTAAGCATCCGTAATCTGAGTTGATTTGAAAGATAATATGAGAAAATGTAACATAAGCTATGCTTATTGAAAAGGAGGCACTGTATGTTTCAGTATCCCAATATCATTAACCATTTAGAAAGAAAACAACAAGCGAGGACAAAGTAAGATCAGAAAGAAGGAACGCAGGGAGGAAAGGAAGGCAGCTGAAGTGAAGGAGAGAAATATGACAGGGAGACAAGGAAAGAGATAAAAGGAGACAAAAAGGATACAGTGGAGATTAGAAATCCACGACAAATATGTAGCAGTATTTGATCCTGCGCAGGAGAAGGAAGAAAATACAAAGAATCGACTGGTAGAATTGGTCAGGTTAGCGGAGAGTACTGGGTGAAAGCTAAGGGTCCCTGGTGACACTGGTGTGGCCCCATGGGGGACAGGGTTGCCCTGAGACAGCCCTGAGGAGGGGACCGCAGAGGGCCTGCCAGAGTCCCTTGTTCTCAGGGAACACTACGGATCCCACAGCCAAAGGCGGAGATGGGAACTCCAGGTAGCTTGGTAAATGATCAGCAGGAAATGCTGGCAGTGTTTACAATTTGCCCAGGTTCTGTGGCAGTGAAATTATTTTCTAATAAAATGGGTCTTAAAAACACCGGCAAGCACTGCGCAATGAGCAGCGTCCGTCCCTGGAGGAGCAAGGAGTAGGTGTCATCCTCAAGGAGCCCGAGAGCCTGAGCTCTGAGGCAGAAGCAGAGCTGAGGAGAGATAGGAACTGGATGCACTGGGCAGAGGGGTGGGGATCATGAGCAGAGTCTGTTGAAGGTGTGCACACGGGCTGGGAGAGCCAAGGATGGGGGCTGTCATGCAGATCAGAGCCTGGGTGTCAGGTGCAGGTGGAACAGCAGGCTGACCGCAGGGCACAGCAGCCACACACACACACACACACACACACACACACACACACACACACGTCACTTACATCCTGCTTACTAGTGCCGTAAATGGCCAGTGAGTTTTAAGAATGCAGTACTCGTGTTCTTACAATCACAGCTCACTTTCACCGGATCACTGAGGCTGCAGAGTGGAACATGCCTCAGGATTACCTCGGAACTGTGTGCAGACAGTGCATTGCCATTGGCCAATCTTGTAAGGTCCCTTTCCAAGGAGGTGCACAACCCCTGTCATTTGTGAAGATTTGCATGAACCTGGGTTCACGACCATACACTAAGTAAACATGGCACAGAAAAGCAGATTCCAGAGATTCTCCACCAATCCTGGGAGGAATTTACAAAGGTGAAATTCACACTGAGGTCATATAGAAGTAAAGGCAGGCAGAAAGGGGACAGAGAGACTAAACTTCTTTCCTCTCTGATGACCTGAAAGTGCTGAGCTCCCTGCTCAGCTTTGCACACAGGACTCTGGTCACTTAGGAAGAGGCTGTGTTCCAAAGTGCACAGCCCTAAGTTTGCCCAGTCTCTCTCACCCGCTGGAGGTCTGAGGACATCAGGATGAGAGCAGCTCCACTGCTCCTCAGTCTGGAGAAGGCACCGGGGCCAGTATTTTCAGCATCCCATTCCAGATCCCTTGGAGTGACACTTAGGAGTCACCAGTCCTGCAGTCACTTCAGGTTTTGGGAGGACCAGAGCCTCCTGAAAAACCCACAGGGGGCTCGCCTTCCCCAAACAAGGGAAAGACCCATGATGGGGAGTGAGGTGGCCCGTGCCCAGCTGAGATGATCATCTCAGAGAATCAGATCTGCTGCTCAGCGATTCTTCCTGCTCTGTGAGTCCAGAACCAACATGATGAGCAGCCACCCCTTGGCCCACCCCCACTGACCCCCAGAAGCTGGCCAGTCTGAACCTCTTCCTCAGAAGGAGACCCACGTTACTCGGGCTGTGTCCTTTCCCTCTCTCCCTGCAGACTCTGCCTGCTAAGCCTGCCTGAGCCTCACACCATGCATCCTGAAGTTCTTCCGGTATGGACCAAGGTCCACTCAGCAGGGCAGGGTGAGTCTCATCTCTTTGGGGGACTCCCTCGGACAGTCTGTGGTGACAACAGTGAAGAGTAGAATGGAAGCAGGACAGGAACTCTCACAGAGACAAAGCCAGGGAGGTCCGGCCTGCTGCACACTGGGGAAGGTGTCTCCCCAGTCCTCCTTGTCGATCCTGAGCCCCCACTCCTGTTCAAGGACCAAGGACTCAGTGGTGGCAGGAGCTGTCCTGTTGCCCTAAGGGCAGAACGCTTCTAATCCTCATCTGTACCAAGAAGAAATGTACCAAGAGGGAGAAGTCTCAAAAATAACATGACCAGAGGACAGAGGACCAGGTTCTAGCCAGGCCTGCAGTCCCGGGCGGGTCAGTCTTGCTCTCTAGTGGGCCATTAGAACCTTCTGGGCTGTCTCCTCTTCAAGCCAAAGACCCTCTCCATTTCCTCTTCCTTCTGGGTCAAAGCTTGTGCTGGCAGACCCATGGTCTTGCTCTTGTTTTTGTCCATTTTCTGTAAACCAAGTCCCCACCCATTTTCTGTTTCTGAATGAGGATTCTCAGGCTGGGAGGGCCAGGCCAGTAGGGGGCTCGAGGGTGCCAATGGAAGGCTCACAAGAAGAATGGGGTTAAGGGAACTGTCACATGGCTCCAGGATTTCAATAAGTAGCAGTGTGCTATGTGCTTAAAACTACAAATAGGATGAAAAATGGCAAATCTGTGAGTTAACTCAGGCATTAACATGTGCTGTCTACATGGTCCCTCTCCCCGGGATGAGAAGAATCATGATGGTTTGCAAACATGAATTCATACAGATAAAAATGTAAGAAGTATCTTGACTGAGCTGTTACACAATATATCGCAAAATTTATACTATAAAGTATAAATGCACAGTATTTTTATTTAGCAATTACAAAACTACCTAGGAGTGTAAAGGACATATTTCATTTTCTGTTGACTGATTAAAGTTAGGGTTAGGGTTAGGGTTAGGGTGAGGGTTAGGGTTAGGGTTAGCAAGGGAGACTTTGAAGCTAAGAGTTACTGCTTGGTTTTGTTGAAGTAAACTGTGTAACCCTTCCGCGTAGGCATGCAGAGCTCAGAGGAGACCTGACGGAGTAAGACAGCATCTCTGAGTCCCCTGACTACAGGTGACAGATGGACCTTCTGCTGTAGATGATCAGGGATGACAGTGGAGGAGCTATAGCGAAGGTTCTGAAACCCACTGGAGCATGAGACCCCAGAGGACAAATCCCATGGTCCAGAAAGGAAGTGGTGAACTTGGAGGAAGAGAAGCGAGAAGACGGACCCACAAACTGTGATGGGAGTGTCTCAAAGGCCCGAGGATTTGAGTAAGTTGACAGGTTAAAGATCGCAGAAACGTGGGTTTAGTCACTGTGACAGGTTTGAAAGGTTAATAGTGAGATTTTCTTACTGTTGAATAGGTCCTGGGCTCCAGCAAGCTGCCTTCTTTTTATTAGTTTTGAATTTTTGTCTGCTCTTCCTTCCTTCTTTCCTCCACCTTTCCTTCCTGCCTTTCTTCCTTTCTCCCTTCTCTCCCTCCTTCCTTCCTTCCTCCCTGTCCCTCTTTCTTTCCTCCTTAAATATATGGGACAGTGGTGTCTGTGTGAGGGTTAACTGTGCTGGGTGTTTGACCAGCAAGCCTGAACTTTTTACTGAAATAAAGGACTCAGATGTTTTCTCTTTTGAAATTTACTGAGGACCCGGAAGTTGAACGGTGAGATGTTGGTGACAGGAGTGGGGTGAAGGAGCATGACCACTGGGGCTGCAGATGGGCAGCTCCTAGAGGGGAGGCTGGGACAGTAAATCAGGGCTGGAACAGGAGCGGGAGCTCCTGTGTGTCCCCAGGGTGAGGGGCTTCCCTGCTTTCCTCACCTGGGTCGCCATGCAGAGTATTTTTTGGTCATAAGAATATACAGAATTGATTCCCAGTTATTTAATAAAAGGTATGCAAAATGAAACTGCAACAGATAATAAATACAAAATACATTGCCAAAACAGAACAAGTTTGGAAAAGTGGGTATGGGCATGGCATAGGAACATTATATTTCACATTCTGTAGAATAAAGTTAAATATACAATAGTTCTCTGCAGGCGACTGTTGTGTATGCACTTGTTCATTTTACATATCAATATGAATATATTCTGAGGAGTGCTTGACAAATCAGACTTTACTGAATTGTCATGCGCTGATAAGGAGCAAAATAAAACCAGGCCAGAGCCTCACTTCCTGACCACTACATGGGATCTGTCCACGCCCAGCACCACAGCTGCTGAGACTCTGCTCCAGGTCTGCCCCGACCCCGAAGGACAGGGCTGCTGGCTGGTCCAAGGGCCGGTTCCAAGTCACCTCAGCTCCATAAAGCAGGGTCCTGCTGGACTGTCAGTAGGGCTGGACTGCTCCACCCTTAGAGCAGAGAGAGCCCTGGAATTAGCTGGTGGAAGCCACTTCCCAGCACTCTTCCAGCATGAGGAATGCAGTGCCCATGGAACGGTTCGTGAGGCCTCTTCAGTTCATGTCTAAAGAACCATTTAACTATTCAAAGTGGCCGAGTCCTGATATATCCAGACACACTAAATGCCTGATTACTGCAGGTGACACCACGGTGCTGAATTAGGAAAAATAAGAATCCCGTCCAACGCCCAGAACCATCTGAAAACAGAATGCATTGATTTACAGCACACTGGAGCCCACTCAGTGGGTCACCCTAACCGGTCAGTGTAGCCTGTTGTACACATCATGGAAACTGCAAGAAAAGAGCTCAGTGGCTGTGAACAAAAGTAACGAAGGTTGGAGACACGAGTCACCCTGATTTGACTGGCGTCTTCTGGGCACATGTAATGAACTAATTATGCCTGCCACGCATTTGCACAAATCAATCAAAATCAGTGAATAGTAAAATAACTTTCCTACCCTGTAGCAATAGCTGGCAGGTGGCTGGGCGGGGAAGGCAGAGGCGCCGGAAGGGTGGGGCATCTGCGGAGCTCCCAGCTTCAGAGTGTCTGCCAGCACTGGTGCACAGACAGCAAGGAAGCCGACAGAACCGTAAGTGAAGACCTGGAAACTGAAATTCGCATTCAGGAGGAAAATGCCATTCCCTGCAGCAGGACATCATAAACCTTGAAGTAGAGCCTAATCCAACGAGCTCCTAGTGGTGCTGGGAAATGAAATGTGTATGCCACCTGTTCACCATTGGTGCAGTGCACGCCCCAGGGTGTGCCAAGCAGACACACTGAAACAGGAGCTCAGTGGCCAAGGGGGAGAAGCAACGCCCACTGCCCAGCCTCAAAGCCACAGAGAGACCGGGCAGGACTCGGGCCTGCAGGGAGCCACCAGTGCCATCACGCGGCCCTGTGAGCTGTGATTCTGGAGGCGAAGGTCCAAGCCACCCACTCCCTTTCAGGCTCCTGGGTGGGTCGCCGACGTGGGAGCTGCAGCCGCTCTGCACTTGAAAGCGCTGCTCCACACCTGTCTGCAGAACCAGCTGCGACACAGCGATCAAAACCTCCCAGGAGGAGACATGATTATGAGCATTTTCATCTCTGAAACCCTGACTTCTAATCCGCCAGTCAAGTCTGTCCCCAGTGAGTGATCTCCGAGGTTCCAGAAGGTAAGTGCAATCAAGCATGGGCGCAATTTTCCTATTATTTCCTGCCTGTGTCTCTCATCTTCTTTCTTTTGATTTATGCTTCTGACTGGGAATGAAAAGAAGTGAGAAAAAAATAAAAGGAATATCTTACTTTAAAAAATACTTGTCTAAGCATATCAGCCCACAGAAATGGGCTATTACATTCTGTTTGTTGTGTTTAATTTTTTTCAGTGCTGGGGATCAAATCGGGGCCTTTGCACTGAGTTACAGTCACAGACATTTTTATTGTTTATTTTGAGACAAGGTCTTGAAAAGTCACTAAGAGCTTGAACTTGTGATCCTTCTGCCTCAACCTCCCAGAGTGCTCGGATAGTAAGTATGCACCACCACACCTGGCTGTGTAATATTTTGAAGAGTCCGTTTCCCTAAAATTCTCCCTGGCCTGGATAACTGTAACTGCTCCCAAGGGGTCTCCTTTCTCTCCTTGTTCCTAGTGGAAGACCCTGACGTTGTCCCTCTCAGCCCCGCTGTGGCACCATGTCCCATGAGTAGAACCTGAAGGACACAGCTGACCACCCTGTCCAGCAGGACCTGTGGGACTCGTCATGTCTCTGCCCAGCTGCCACTCGCTGAACCCCTTCAACATCACAGAGCGGGACGGCCAGGCCAGATGCTCCTCTTACCACCCAGGGACTGAGGAGACTCTGGTCTTCCTGCAGCACGGGTTAAGCAAACATTCAGTAAGGACAGAGCAGCGGAGAAGATTAGTAAGAGAAGTAATTAAGCTGAGAACATCAAGTCAAACAAATTAAAAATACCATTCCGCATTCCTCTGTGTAGGTCTGTGCTCTCACAGCTGTCGCAGGAAGGTGACCAAAGGCGTTCTGCATTCTGCTTACAATTCCTACCTCGCCATGCTTTCCTCGCCAATTCTTTCCAGGAACTGCCCAATTTTTCTAACTGGCATTTATGATAGTTCAATGAATTCCTTTACTTTAGAGATCTCCCTGCCTCTGGAATTTTGATTTAATAGAATTCTCATCTGACAATCTTCAGGGCTGATTCCTGCATTGACTTGGCATGTGTTATATTTTAAATTTGAAATATTCCTAGAAAAAAAAACGTTCCCAGAAAGCATTATGTGTTGAGAAACCAGACTTTAGGAATATACTGAATCAGAAAGGTCGACTTTAATTAGTGGAAGTCACAGAAATTTAGGAGGTCAGCCCTAATGGAGAGACCGACCATGAGGGGTGATTTGGGAAGCATATCACTTCCTGCTCATTCTTTTTTGTATGTTTCCTTCTCTTGTTCCTTCTGGATGACATGAAGTGGACAGTTTACCTCCTTGATGGCTTTCTACCGCCATGCTCCTGCTTCCCCTCAGGCTCACAGAAACGGAACCAGCGGGCCATGGACTGAACCCCTGAAACCATAAACCACATGCACCTTTTCTACTTTAGCTCTGTACAGCAGGTACTCTGTCACTGTAACAGAGAGCTGAATGACACATCTGTGCTCTATCACCCACCTTTGTTGTAAGGCAGGACCACATGGACCATTAGGCCATTCCCTGCTCTGCGAATTCCCTTCCACACACCACTGTCACCTTTCATCTCTCTATGCATATATGCACATATGCACAGTCCTGAAATGTTTTCGTAGTCCTCAGAGTCCATAGAAAAAGAGAGAGAGAGAGAAAGAGAGAAAGAGAGAGAGAGAGAGAGAGAGAGAGAGAGAGAGAGAGGGAGAGAGAGATTGTCCTTGGTTTTGCATGTTTTTTTTTCATAATAAATGAGTAAAGTGTATGAGAAAGTCCTTGTATGGATTTTTGGATACATAAATGAAAAGGAAATGCTTGTGTTATGGACTACCACATTCCTACACAGGTCCAGATGTAAATGGTAAAACCCTATCTACTGCAGCATAGACTGTCTGTATATGACTCTATGATCCCAAGAAGATGAACAATTAAAAAATTATAGTTGTTCTAAGTAATAAGCTTAATAGTAGATATGAGAATAAATTTCTATGATACTGTGGGACAGAGCAAGATAACTCCTTAGAAAATAAAAGTTTTAGAGAAAGTTACTTCAGACTATCATCTTAAAAGTTCACTACATTCTCCCTTCTATAAATGGTAAAGAAAATAGAGTGTGAGTCTCATCATTAGAAGGCCTATATATCTTTATGTACATCCTGAGACTGTCAAGCACACTGCTTAAAGGAAAAGCTAGTCGTGTAGTTTTGAAAGAATAACAATTAGAATTAAATTAGAAAGAGTAACAGTGCTTTGGTGCTAAGGAAGGGGCAGGCCATAAGCAAGCGGTTTTAAAAAGGAAGAAGGAGCGAAGCTCTGCTCCATCTGTGGGGCAGGGAAAGTGGTACCGCGTGACAAAGAAATGGAAAAGGTCATCAAGATCATCGAGAGCCCGGTGTGTGAGAGCTTCTGTTCTCAGCCAAGGAAGAAGGTAACAGAAAGCAGCAACCCTGAGCTGATCACAGTATCTTCTCTGGAAAATCACGTTCAACTGGGCAATCAATAGCAATTTCCCAAAGACCTGCATCAGATCTGTAATTCATGTAAAAGCTGGACTGGAGCCTAAATGTGAGATAAAAACGTCAATGAAAGGAATAAAACGTGGTGGAAATGCTACTTCAGGAATGCATGTCTAAGTGTGGGTGCTCTCATACGTGTGTATGTGTGCACGCCTGTGTGCAGGTGTGTGTACATGTGTGTGTCCTGAGGGCAGATTTCTGTCCTGCATATGCCGCATTACAGGAAGCTCTCCGTGCTGGGAAACTTTTCCCAGGTGGCAGGAGATGCTGCCTTCCCCTGGGCCTCTGACTCTGCTGCAGCAGGGTGACCAGGTCTTTGCCAAAAGTGTGGTGAGTGTGTGCGGTTTCTGTGTGGCTCTGCACCCCAGATCGTGCTGCTCCTGCCCTGACTCTGTCCTGGAAGGAGGGCAGGGGTGCTTGCTGCCGCCTAGAGAGAACAGCTGGGGTGCCTAGTGTGTGAGAGTCTACTTTCTCTAGAGCGGTTCTGCACTCCTGGACCAGCTTCCCACTCTCCTTTAGTGCAGAGATGAGGCTCTGTGCTTTGTATCCTAGCATCGCTGGGTAGATTTCTTCACTTCCAGTCTTGGATCCATGAGGTGGGAAAAAGTCCCAGAGAATTCAGCATTTATGGAGACTTGAGGTGCTCAACTCGTCTGTCTTATTTTCTCCTCCTGTAAAGGATGGTTCTCCTGCTTCCCTTCTCCTCCTCCTCTGCCTCCTCCTCTCACCTAGGTGAAATTTAAAAAACATGTTGCAAAGAATGTCCAGCAATGTACTGTTGACCAGGGGATAGAAGCATATTGTTTAAAAAAAACACAGAAAAAATTAATAATAATTTATTGATAAGTTTTAAAAATATGTAAATACTTCTTGATGTACCTAGATTGCATAATTCAAATGAAAAAAGTAATTCACACATCACAGGCTAAATTTTAACCTGTGTAGCAATGGCAACCTACATTATCCTGTGTATAAAAACAACTCCAGCATGCCAGTGTGGAGGACTGAGTGTGCCCCACAGTAACCTAGGCCAGAAAAAGAACAGGCCATCTTCAGAATGTGAGGCGACTTAGCTGGGAGGTGTGCAAACATCACATCCATCACAGATTCGCAAAATCAAAGCATAAATACCACTCTACACTTTCCGAGTGACAAATGGGAAACACAGATAATCCTCAGTGAAGGCATGGGGTTGGCAAAGAAGCTGCCACCATGCACGGCTGCAGGAAAAAGGACCTGTCTCAGCCACTCCTGGAGACAGTGGGGTGCCTTGCTGTAAACTCCAAACAAGCCCTGAAGGTTTAAGGGAACAGATCTCAGAGCACATCTCCAGGAGCAGGAGACTCCAGTGTGGCGTAATAAAACAAAGAAGTGCCTCTGCTTCAGCTCTGGCCAAAAAAGGAGCCAGGAGTAGCCGTGTGTTAGCTAACAAACTCAGGCTTTTTCTCTTCTCCACCTTTCATTCAGCTCTTGTGCCCAGCATGAGCACTCTCCTGTTTCCTGTGATAGATGCTGTCTCGATTTGTGACTTGTGAATAAGAAACCAATGGGATCCACATATCATCTTTGTGATTGTGTCTTTTGAAAGTATCAAAAGTTTTACTCGTTGTCATATCAGTCTTATGGAAAGTATCAATATGAGTAAGACAGAATTCAGCATGTTTGACATACTGGATACACAGTAGTGTAAATCATTAACAGCATCTGGAGCTCTGGTAAGTAAAGTCCATCTCATTTACCTGTCTCTGTTTCTCTTTGTACAAGTTGAGAATGCATCGTATTTTGTGGAACATACAACCTTGATTTCTTGTAACTGGACTCGAGGCTGGGAAATTTTTGCTGGATTTGATCTGTCTAAAATCTTTCCATGATCATGTGGTTTAGATCTGCGATATTCTTTTGAAGTGAATATTCTTGACACCCACTATACCCTCAGTGGGCAAAGTTTCAGTTACAACTGAGTATCTGTGATAGTTTGGATCTCAAATGGCCCCGGCACCTTGTGTTTGGAACGTGGGGTATAATATTCATGGTGAATCCTCCACCATGAGCTCAGCAGCTGCTTGTGCTGCTGCTAGATGGGGCCTTGTGGGAAGCGACAGGTCCCTGGGGGAATCACCTGGAGGGGTGTACCCCAGTCCTGGCTCTGGCTTCCCTCTGATTTCTGGCTACCATGACATGAGCTCCTCTCCTCCGCCAGACCCTTCCTGCACTCTCCTTCCTTGGAGCCCGCTGATCTTGGACTGAAACCCTGAACCCAAATAAACCTCTCCTCCTTTCAGTTTGTGGGTGTGAGGACTGCATTACAGAAATGAGAAAGTCACTAAGACAAGGTTCTTCAGCAAACAATTTTGAAATGAAACACCTGTCACATTAGTTTGTAATTGCTATCACACCATTCGCTTCCAAGGAAATTAATATAAATCTATGATTGATAGTTTGTGATTTGCGTCATTTATTTG